CGATAGCTTTGGCCTTTCTCCTCGACGCGTACCTTCTTTTTTTTCTGTTATCTTTCTTAATGAGACACTATTTTTTTAAACTTTTAAGGGTTTGTAGTGGGTACTATTATATGCTAGAGACTATCTTTTTTTTTCTTTCTAAAGACTGTATCAACTTATAAACATCATTGGTTACTTTTGGTTTTATTAGAATTAACTGATAAAAAGTAAAATATAATTACAAAATTATTATAGAACTAGAGTTATAGAATGCATCGATTCGATTCATGTACAAATAAAAGAAACATAGTTTTTCATTAATATAAAAACTATCTACTTAAGATAGAACTAACATTTAAAGTTTTGGGACTATATCAATATTAGTTTAGAAAATTACGCTATAATAATTTAAATAAAGAGCGGTCTTCTAATATTTCTTACAAGTTACAGGATATTCACAATTTCACACTTTCAGTCGCCTGTTTTATTCTTAACATTACCATTAAGAAAGTAAATCATTAAATTTCCTCAAGTTTGGGGAAATTTAACCATAATATACGTATATGGATGATTGGATCGCACCTGGTTTCTTCCAAAGATTACAAATATGTTATATTTATTTAATTCACCGGCATTTAGATATTCATTATATTACTGCTACTAACTTATCTGAGCTATGCATAATGCATGCATCTAAATTCGGCGGTTATTTTTAACTGCTAACAGTCATAGTCACCGTTCAGTGAGTCTAATCGCTATTTGTTTGAATTAGATATACACCGACCGTTCAAGTAGCGTCTTGCAATTCTTAGAACTCTATAAAATTTGCATTAGGAAACGCAAAATGTAATATGTATAAGTATATAACCAATTTACTTTGGCTTCATAACAAACATTCTTATTTTCCCTTATTAATCCTCTTACGCATATTAATCAAAGAGTGACTTGAATATTGATCAGCTTATGTACTGATTTAATCTTGGTGTTTTTAAAGGGATCGCAACTAAATTAGTACAAACGACGTACCTAATTGTATCTAATAATATTAGATTTTAGGATTCATGAAAAAGTAAAAATAAATTTAGACATAAGAAAACGCTTCAGAATAAGATAATAGTTGAAAAGAATAGAAAGCAAGCGAAAATATTTTCCTATATTTTGACCAAAAGCGAACGAAAATGTCGCGCGAGAACATGAAAAGTTGTCTGCTTACACATATAATGCTGACAAAAAATACCTTATGTCTTAATTAAATTGGAAGATGACTTAATCAGGTTTATGTTCTGTCTAATTATTTCATTACTTTTACATATATAAAAGATTTAAACAAAGTTACGTGCATAAGGATCAGAGGAAAAAAGTCCTTTCATTACACCAAGAGGCTTCACTAGTCCCGACCCGTATATAAGCAAACAAATATTAATCAAACATTTTTTTTTCAGTTACAAAATTCTATTTTCTTTTTTTTTTTGTCTATTTAATAAAAATGTTATTATTAAAAACTTGCACAGTGTTTACGCATTAACTTAATCGCAAATCATGTTTCACCATAAATTGAGCTATTGTTTAAGATTTAGATTATAATTCTCGATATTGGTCGACAACCCTGACCCTTTTGTTGCGTCCATTGCTCTATAGTTGGCACGTTTTCTTTCCAATTTAAAATTTTGTCAGAATAAAGTCCTTTTGGTAAAAATGTTAAGAAAGGATAAGTCCTTGCTATTGCAGAATTTTGTTTTCTTTAACATAACGTATATCTATTTTTGGCATCTTTTATAGTAGGAAATATTCATCTTATATGAATTTCAAAACTATTAACGGGATGACAGCAAATCGAATCAAATTTATGCGAGTGGTTTGTTAAGTTAAATGAACAGATTAGTTTAATTTGCAGCAAACAATGATAGATCAACAGAAAAACAGAAAACACAGTTAAGTATGCTTACTTTTATATAAGATATGCTCGCTCACATTATGCAAACATATTAATTATTTATAAACTCAAGTTTTTAACGCATGTGTATAAACACGATGCATAGGTCTTTAAGTTAATGGATCCCTAGAAAATTTAAAGGTTCATTGCTAGATCGATAAACCTGAGGAATAGCATATACAGTATATATTATTGTAAGAATGTGGGTGGATGCTGTGGATTGGAACAGGTCCACAATTAGAGTACGTATCTGTATATACAGATACAATACTATATTAACTAGGATAAGACCTGCGCCTTGCGCAGGGTGGGTGAATATATGTAATTAAAATATAAAATTTTAATATTCACAAATTTAAAATTTACATATGATTATTTTTGTATGTATTTGAAATTTTAGAATTTTGGAATTTTTATATAATTATCTATACGTATGATCAAAAACAATTTTAATTAGAAATGTAAATCAAATCTTAGAATTTAATGGATCTCATTTCATATATCTTTTTACTTTTCAGTGTTCGAGTGATGGAAAATAAATGGAGTGTCACTGGGCTTGATTGGTAGAGTATAGCAAGTTCCCTAATGTTTTTAAAGAAGCAATTGGTAAAATATTTGCAATTAAAATATATAAAGTTTCTAAACTAATTTAATATAATTTATTTATTTGTCTAATAATATTAGAAAATTA